ACTCCTCCATCCCCTTTCCCCCCTCGTGTGCCATTGTAACATCACTGCCTTGCCCTAAAAAGTTTTTTTTGTAAGAACGATTTCAATGGGCATTTCCCCGCTGATGTGCCGGGGTGCTGCCGTGCTGGCGTGTGTGTTCAGATCTACGGGCAGGAGAGCAGTGGCAAGACCACCCTCGCCCTACACGCCATCGCTCAAGTGCAGGTACTGCTGTCACCATCCTTCTCCTTCTCTCTCTTCTCCTCTGCACTGCCTTCCTCGTCTCTCCTCTCCGCTCCTCTCCTCTCGTCTACTCTCCGCCTTACCTCCTATGCCCCTACGCTGCTGTGAACCCTTTAGACGCCTTTCCATCCTCTCCGCTCCTCCCCCTCCTGTTTCCATTGGTCTTTGCTTTCCCTCACGTTTTCTCCCTCAACCACGCTCACTTCCCAGCATCCCCACACTCCCACCCCCCTTCCAAGCCTCACCTCCTCCCTGCCCCGCTTTCCCCTTTCACTTTTCCTCCCCCATCCCCTCCCCACCTCATCCCCCTCCTCCCAATCCTCCCCCTTCCCCTCTCCTCTCATCCGTGCCCACTTGCACCTGCTCCTCCACTGGCTCTCTCATCCCCTCCGCCTCTCTCCGTACCCCCAACAGGCGTGAGCAGAAGCAGGGCGGGGTGGCGTGGGTGGTGGACGTGGAAGGAACATGCGCTGGACCTCAAATATGCACCCCATCTGGGCGTGCACACTGTTGGATGTTGGTTCGCCCAACCACGACAATCCTCCTCACTTACTCCCTACCTCCCTCCCCTCCGTCGGACCGTCCCCTCTCATCGCGACCCAATTGCGTCCCCTCCTCTACTTGCGCCCCCACCACTTGCTTCGCTGCTCCCCTCTCCCCGCAACACCGCATGTGAGCAGAAGCGGGGAGGCACAGCATGGATAGTGGACGCGGAGCATGCGTTGGACCTCAAGTACGCGCAGCAGCTGGGCGTGCACACGGACAAGCTCGTGCTGTGCCAGGCCGAGGAGGCTGACAAGGCGCTCGAGAGTGAGTGGGGGGAGGGCACAGGAGGGAGGGAAGGGGTGTGGGGAGCGGGGCCGTTTTTGGGGGGGGTGATGTTTGAGTTGAGTCAAAAGCCGGGCGTGCAGACGGACAAGCTCGTGCTGTGCCAGGCTGAGGAGGCTGACAAGGCACTCGAGAGTGAGGTGAGGGGGGGGGTGGAGAGGAGGGAGGGAAGGGGTATGGGGAAAGGGGCCGTGGGGGGGTGATGTTTGAGTTGAGTCAAAAGCTGGGCGTGCAGACGGACAAGCTCGTGCTGTGCCAGGCCGAGGAGGCTGACAAGGCACTCGAGAGTGAGTGCAGGGGGAAGGGACAGGGGCGGGGCAGGGAGGGAGGGCGCATGGGGAGTGGGGCCGTGTGGCGGGGGAGAGGGGAGGGGAGCGGAAGGCGGGGGGAAGAGGTTGAGTTGAGTGGGCATGAACAATGGCGTGTGATTCCGTGCCTGCACTCTACATTGTCTTTGCCCCACTCATTTCCGCTTTCTCATCACACGTCCTCCTGTCCCATCTCTCCTCAACTCTTTTACACTGCCCGCACCCTCCACACGTGGATGCATCTACCATGTGTGCACATATATGCAAATCATCCCTCTCCACCATACGTTCCGCACTGCCCTTCTAAACCACCCCCCTGTCCCTTATACACCCTACCCTACGCCCACCTTTTTCCTACTCTTTCCCTTTCTCCCAACTCGAACTGACGTGTGCGCGCATGCCTACCTCCCCCCTTTCCCTTCCCTACACTCCCTCCCGTTCCTTCCCTCCCTCCCCTCTCTCCTCCCCTTCCCACCTCCCCTCCCTCCCTTCCCTCCCCTCCCTTCCCACCTCCCCTCCCAAACCCTCTTCTTCCCCCTTCCCCCCGTCTTTCCCCGTCCCCTTCTTCATCTCCCTCGCCTGGCACCAGTTGTGGACACGGCAATGAGGGGCCTGGCAGCGGACATAGTGGTCGTGGACTCCGTGCCTGCGCTCATCTCATCCCCTCAATCCTTCGCATCCGTTCATGCTACTGTGTGCGCGTCCATCTTCCCGCTCCCGTCCCACTCCCCCCCTTTCGCCCTCCCGGGGCACCAGTTGTGGACACGGCAATGAGGGGACTGGCAGCGGACATAGTGGTCGTGGACTCGGTGCCCGCGCTCATCCCCTCGCAGGAGCTCGAGGTGCCTCTCCTCTCCTCTCCTGCTGCCACCCGCACACCCACCCCAGCCCTGCGTCTCTCCTTTCTCCTTTGCATGCTTTTGCACGTGCATGTGTGCATGTGTGCATGTGTGCATGTGTGCATGTGTGTGTGTGTGCATGTGTGCATGTGTGCATGTGTGCATGTGTGTGTGTGTGCGTGTGTGGATGTGTGCATGTGTGCATGTGTGCATGTGTGCATGTGTGCATGTGTGTGTGTGTCTATCCTTCGCCGCACACATGCATTCGTTTCCTCGCGCCTCGCTCTTGCGCTTGCTGCTCCACTTCTCTGCCCCATCTCTCTCGTCTCCTTTGCAAGTTCTTTCCCTTGCTCTCTCTCCCCTCATCCCCTCTCCCACCGTCATCGGTGCCAATCCCATGCTCACCACCATGCCACCCATACGCCCCTCCCCCTCCCACGCATGCACACTCCACACCACCATGGCACGCTCAGAGCGAGATGGGGCAGGAGTCGATAGGGCTGCTGGCGCGCCTGATGTCCAAGGTACTCAAGAAGCTGAGCGCCAGTGCGAGCAGGTCCAAGTGTACTGTTATCTTCCTCAACCAGATGCGCCAGAAGGTGGGGGGGAGGGGAGGGGATAAGGACGGAGGAAAGGGGGGGGGGGTGGGGGTGGGGGGAGAGGGGGGGGTGGTTGGATTTGGGTAGTTCATGTGTGGTCGTAGTATTGAGGCCTATCAAGGCACACAAGCTGAGCGCGAGTGCGAGCAGGTCCAAGTGCACCGTTATCTTCCTCAACCAGATGCGCCAGAAGGTGGGAGGTGGGGGGGAAGGGAAGGGGGAGAAGGGGTGGAGGGAGAGATGGGGAGGGTGGCGTGGTGATTTGGGGCGCGTCAAGTCACACAAGCTGGGAGTAGGGATGAGCTGTCTGCCCTCACTTGGCTGTTCGCGTCTCTATGCGCACTCGCACATGCACTCCGTCATCCCTGTATCCATGCCACCATGCCACCATGCCACCATGCCACCATGCCACCATGCCACCATGCCACCATGTCACCATGCCACCATGCCACCATGCCACCATGCCACCATGTCACCATGCCACCATGCCACCATGCCACCATGCCACCATGCCACCATGTCACCATGCCACAATGCCACCATGTCACCATGCCACCATGCCACCCACCATGCCACCATGCCACCATGCCACCATGCCACCATGCCACCATGCTACCATGCCACCATGCCACCATGCCACAATGCCACCATGTCACCATGCCACCATGCCACCCACCATGCCACCATGCCACCATGCCACCATGCCACCATGCCACCATGCTACCATGCCACCATGCCACCATGCCACCATGCCACCATGCCACCATGCCACCATGCTACCATGCCACCATGCCACCATGCCACCATGCCACCATGTCACCATGCCACCATGCCACCATGCCACCATGCCACCATGCCACCATGCCACCATGCCACCATGCCACCATGCCACCATGTCACCATGCCACAATGCCACCATGTCACCATGCCACCATGCCACCCACCATGCCACCATGCCACCATGCCACCATGCCACCATGCCACCATGCCACCATGTCACCATGCCACCATGCCACCATGTCACCATGCCACCATGCCACCATGCCACCATGCCACCATGCCACCATGTCACCATGCCACCATGTCACCATGCCACCATGCCACCATGCCACCATGCCACCATGTCACCATGCCACAATGCCACCATGTCACCATGCCACCATGCCACCATGCCACCCACCATGCCACCATGCCACCATGCCACCATGCCACCATGCCACCATGCCACCATGTCACCATGCCACCATGCCACCATGTCACCATGCCACCATGCCACCATGCCACCATGCCACCATGCCACCATGTCACCATGCCACAATGCCACCATGTCACCATGCCACCATGCCACCCACCATGCCACCATGCCACCATGCCACCACGCCACCATGCCACCATGCCACCATGCCATCATGCCACCATGCCACCATGCCACCATGCCACCATACCACCATGTCACTTGCCTCCACCCACCCTGCCCCCGCCCATCTCCATCACTATCCACACTGCGACATCACAACCTGCACACTGCCATGCCATGTCACTCTTTCTCCCCCCGCCTCCCTTCCCTTACCCCTTCCTCCTCCTTTCCCATACCCCCCTCGTCTAAATCTCCCTTTCACCTCTTTCCCCTTTCTCTCCCCCCACCTCCCGCCCCAAATCTCACCCTCCCGCCTCCCATATCCACGCGTGCTGCTGTGCTGGCGTGCTGCTGTGGTGACGTGCTGCTGTGCTGGCGTGCTGCTGTGGTGACGTGCGTGCAGATCAACACGGGTGGCTTTGCCTTTGGCAGTCCCGAGACCACCACGGGCGGCACGGCCCTGCGCTACTTTGCCTCTGTGCGCCTTGACCTGCGCAGCATTGGCAAAATCAAATCCGTAAGTGCAGCCAAGCACCGTCGTGTGTGGGCAGCGTGTGAGATCCATGAGTGCAAGGATCATGTGGCGATTGGTGAATGCGGCCCTAAACCCTAAACCCTGCACACGTGGTGCTCTGCTCTGCACGGCGTCCGATTTACGTTTGAGAGCTATTAAATCAACCCTGCCTGCATCGTTCTCTTCCGTCCCAACGCCCTCTGCTCTTCCCTGCTGCTCTCACTGCATTCTTGTGTGCCCATGGCAGACCAAGGATGAGTCAGACATGGGTATTCGTGTGCGCTGCAAGGTGGCCAAGAGCAAGGCAAGCACGCACACATGCCCTCTTTCCCCCACCCCTGCACACCCATGCCCCATGATATGTGACGCACGCACCCATGCAGCATCTCTCTACATCTCTCTGCATCTCTCTGTACATCGGGCTGCCTCGCGTGTCACAACACACACATGAAGCTTCTTGCCACCTGGTGATTCCCCGTGCCCTCTTGCTGCCCTCCCCCCCTGCCTGCCCTCCCCCCTGCATGCCCTCCCCCCTGCGTGCCCTCCCCCCTGCGTGCCCTCCCCCCTGCGTGCCCTCCCCCCTGCGTGCCCTCCCCCCTGCCGCCCCCCCCTTCCCTCTGCCTGCCCCCACCCTGCCGTCCATGGCAGGTGAGTCCACCACTACGCACAGCGGAGTTCGACCTACTCTTCGGCACCGGCATCTCCCACGCGGTAACCTCGCTCACCTCACCTCACCTCACCTCACCTCACCTCAGCCCCCACGCTCTTCCCCCCCCCCGTCTCCCTGCCCCTCTCCTCTGCTTCTCCCTTCTCCTCTCCTTCGCATGCGTGTGCAGTTCCCCCCTCTAAATTGTCGCACGCAGTCTTAGTCGCCAGAACCTTACACCACCATGCACCCCTCTCTTACCCCTCTCTTCCGCACTTCCTCAACCCCTTTCCGCGCTCCTCCAGTTCTATTCTGCTTCTGCTTTCTGTTTTTGCAGTTATTGTTCTTGTTTTCTTTTCTTCATGCCTCAACCCTACCATGATCTTGGGAAGCACCATGCATATGCTTCCCCCTCTTCCCCATCTGCCCCCTCTGCCCTCTCTGCCCCCTCTGCCCCCCCTGTGCCGCCTGTGCACCTCTTCCCCTGGGCGCCCTGTGTGCGCGGAGCAGGGGTGTGTGCTGGACTGTGCGGAGGAGCTGAAGAAGGTGGAGAGGAAGGGGTCATGGTACAGCTTCCGGGACGACATGCGGTGAGAGGAGAGGGGTGGGGGAGGTGAGAAGGGGGGGGTGGGGAAGATGAGTGGAGGGCGGAGAGGGGAGAGGTGAGAGGGAAGGGGACGTGGTACAGCGTCCGGGACGGCATGCGGTGAGAGGAGGGCATGCGGTGAGAGGAGGGCATGCGGTGAGAGGAGGGGGGAAGTGAGTAGAGGGGGAAGGCTAGATGGAACGGCTACTGGTGCAGCTACAAGAACGAGATGCGGTGAGAGGGGCGGGGAGAAATGTGGTCCGAAGGGGGGGGGGAGGATGTGGTGAGAGGGGCGGGGCACGGGGTGAGAGGGGCGGGGCATGTGGGCGGGGCATGGGGTGAGAGGGGCGGGGCATGGGGTGAGAGGGGCGGGGCACGCTGTGACAGGGGGAATGTGGTGAGAGGAGAGCATGCAGTGAGAGCAGGGAGGGAGGTGAGAAGGGGGGAGGGGTGGGAAGGGGTGAGGTGAGGAGGGTGGGTGAGGTGAGAGGGAGTGGGATGAGGTGAGAAAGGGGGGGATGAGGTGAGAAGGGGGGGGGGGGGGGGATGAGGTGAGAAGGGGGGAGATGAGGTGAGAAAGGGGGAGATGAGGTGAGAAAGGGGGAGATGAGGTGAGAAAGGGGGGCATGAGGTGAGAAGGGGGGCATGAGGTGAGAAGAGGGGGAAATGAGGAGAAAAAAGGGGGGATGAGGTAAGGAGGGGACATGAGGTGCGGCAAAGGTTTGTATGGGAGTACGATTACCAGTTCATTCTCATGCCCACCTATCTCCACCACCACTGCTGCTTGCTCCCACTCACTCTCCCTCCTCATGCCATTGCACGTACTCATCGCACCTATTTCCAACCCTCTTCCCCACCCCTCCAACCTCCCTCTCTACCTCTTCCATTTCCCCTCCCTCCTTTACAACCGCTCCTCCTTCCCCCACTCTCCCGTGCTCCTCGTCTTCGTCCCCCATGCTCCGTGTGCGCCCCATGGCAGGGTGCAAGGGCGGGAGAACGCCATCACGTTCCTCAACGAGAACCCGCACGTGTGTGACGAGCTCGAGCAGGTCAGTGCGCCTCTGCACTCCCCTCAATACCCTCCTCACGCCACAAGCTCCCGAAGGTCAGCATGCCCCCACTCGTGACTGTTGGGTTGGCTCACAAAACACTGTTACAGAGACCAGCAATGTCTACACTGAGCGTTAGAGCATGTCTCTCTCCTGCTCTCTTGCCCTCTTGACCTCTTGCCCTCTTCCCTCTTCCCTCTTGTTTGTGCTACGATGCGATTCGTGCAGCTCGTGTCATGCCATGGTGTGACGCGTGTTATGCCGTGCCCACCTTGCCATGACACCTTGTCAGCATTCTGTCATACGATCCATCCCGGCCCCACACCTCGCCCCCCCTCCCACCTGCGCGCCCTCTTCAATTCCTCTGGGCCTACCTCCCTCTTCCCCATTCCCCTTCCTGTTCCCTCTTAATGCTCTTGCGCGGTGCAGCTAGTGCGGGAGCATGTGGCACCGGTGGAGGAGGAGGTGGTATCAGATGAAGAGATTGACTTGGACCCACCACCCTTTTCTGATGACGATGCATACCACGGGGCAGACAGGGACATGCAGTAGGGATGCGGTAGGGATGCATGCGGTAGGGATGTGGTAGGGATGCGGTAGAATGCAGTGGGGCTGCATACGGTACTGACGAGCACATGGGGAAGAAAAGGCTTTAGCTTGGATCGGAATGCCTTCGAGTACTAAGTGTTTTGCATTCCTCCAGGGGCTTTTAGGGAACAATAGAAATAAACCCGGGGGCATGGCAGGCCTCAGCAAATCACAGTAAGTGTTTCCCCGTCCTCCTGGCCCTTGCCTGATTGCGTGCAATATGACCCCTAGAGTTTTATGAGATGTACCATAATCTCTTGGATAGGGTCTAGGGTTTAAAGTCAAAACTGAGTCAACACTTGGGTTGGTTGGTAGGTCTAATGTTTGGACAACACACCCTGTTTCCTGGACTGAATGTTTGAAGAAACTGTCAAGAATGAAAGTGTTGGTTTGACTAAGGTTGGTTGGGGTACATAAACCTAACCCTTATAGTTGTACCCCTTATAACACACATCACTAAGACTACAACACTTGACACACCCCCATAGTCTAAGTGAGGGGTGTCAAGCAAAACCAAAAGTGTACGGTCACAAGACCAGTCACAAAGAAACAAAGCTCAGGGTGGATCACAACGTCACCACACACTCCGAGCACAAGCAAAAGAGCCACAAGGCTAATTCAAGAGTTCACAGAGGTATATGTAAGGTGTACAAACAAAGCAAGGAGAGAACTCAAGACTATGCAAGGCGAGAACGTGTGTCAACGAGACCTAACTGTACACAACACCTTTGGTGGTCACAAGGCGGTAGGGCCTTGGTGAAGATGTCTGCAGTGTTGGCCTCGGACTCAACAAAGTCGAAGCGAGCCTGTCCACGCCTCTGCAACTCTCGCAGAAGAAAGTACCTGACGTTAATGTGCTTCACTCTGCTCTCCAGTTGCAGCTATCGACAGAGGAGAATCGTTGCCTTGTTATCAGTGAACAAGGTCGGCGCAGAGCTCAGCCGCTCACCAAGGTCAGTAAGCAAGAACGCCAGCCAGCGCAGCTCCTGTGCAGCCATAGCTCCAGCGTAGATCTCGGCCTCAGCAGTAGAGGTCGAGACCAAGGAGGAACGTGTGGACCTCCACGAAACAGCTCCAGAGTCCAGGCTGAAACAGTACCCCTGAGTAGACCTATGCGTCTCGGCGTCGTCAGCGTAAGAAGAGTCACAGTGACCAGTAAGCACGACGTCCTGTCTCCCTCCAAGAACTAGCCCCATGCCTGATGTCGTCGCTAGGTACTTCGCCACCCTCACAGCAGCTGTCCAGTGGACTAGACGGTGTCTCCCTAGCGCAACAAAGCGAGCAAGGTGTTAGAATTTAAGCTGTTTGAATAGGATCGTAGTCTTAGGATAGTAGCTTCCTGTAGCAGTGGAAGTCTTATATGAGTGACTTGTAACAGGATCAATATCTCTGAAATCAAGTATATTAAGAAATGACAAACATACAGAATATATACTAGGATAAAGTACCTATTCGCTTAATGTACCTAATAGCCTGAAACGGTACGTGACTATTCGCGATACCTACAGCTACTGCTGACGTCATCCTAGGGCGCGTAGCGCTTTGTTGACGTCAGCCTATCGGTACTTTTACTGTACTAACTACACTACACGAATTCCTTGAAGTGCACAAGTCTTGATATTATCTCAACACAAGGATGCTGAGAGGGAAGGCGAGGACCGGGCGAGTACAAGTCTTCAGGTACACGAGGCAGCCCACAAGCTCTGCGTAAGGACCACTAGGCTCGAACGGCTCGTCAGGAAAGGGTCCGGTGAGTCTGTGGTCAACGGCAAGAGGTGTGCGCTGTACAGTTGAGTGCTGAAGCTCGAACCGCTGAAGGACCTGCTGCACCATGTGTGACTCTGAGAGTGTAATGGTGCGAGCGGCTCTGTCCCTAGTGATCTGCAGGCCAAGATAGTGGCGCAGCTCACCAAGGTCAGTGCAAGTGTGTCTCTTCTGCAGTTCGAGCTTCACATCAGCCAAAGCAACCCTGTCAGCAATGGCGAAAACCAGGTCGTCGACGTAGACCAGTACAAAGAACAGTATGGAGCCACGACGAACGAACATCGACGGGTCGGCAGAAGAAGGTTGGAAACCAAGGTCAGAAAGGGTAGAGCGAAGGGTGTCATGCCACTCACGAGGAGCCTCACGGAGACCATAGACCAGTCGCCTAAGCCTCCACTGGGTCCCAGGAGGGAAAGTGCCAGTGAAGGTAGAGGGACGACGCAACCAGACCTCCTCGTGTGGGTTACCCTGAAGGAAAGCAGTGGAGAAGTCAAGAGAGTGGAACTCGTAGTCTCTCTGTGCTGCAACGTGCAGTAACACCCGAAGAGTGGTCATCTTCGGGGTAAGAAGGTCTGAAAGAAGTCAACTCCCTCGCGCTGACTGCAACCTCTTGCCACATAGCGCGCCTTGAAGACCGGAGGAGATCCCGTTGGCCGCTTCACCCTGAAGATCCACATGCCATCGACTACGTTCGCCCCAGGGGGGGGGAACCCCGTCGACATGGCATCCTGGAAGTCCACAAGCACCTACGTCGACGCAGTTCCCTTGTCTCGGACGAACATAGTCGATGGCATGTGGATTTTTAGGGTGAAGCGGCCGCCAGGTTCTCTGCCTGCCTTCAAGGTGCGTTACGTTGTTCGAGGCTTCAGTCAGCGACATGGGGTCAACTACTTCCAGACCTTCTCCCCCACCCCGAAGATGACCACTCTTCGGGTGTTACTGCAAGTTGCAGCATGGCGTGACTACGAGCTACACTCGTTCGACTTCAGTACAGCTTTCTTGCAGGGCAGCCTCCACGAGGAGATCTGGCTGCGCTGCCTACCTGGCTTCACTAGGTCGTTTCCTGAGGGTACCCAGTGGAGCCTCCGGCGGCCAGTCTATGGTCTCTGCCAGGCGCCCCGCGAGTGGCACGACACACTGAGGACCACACTAGCGGCTCTTGGGTGTGCTCCTTCGAATTTTGACCCGTCGCTGTTTCTACGCACCGACTCTTCTCTGCTGCCGATCTACATCCTCGTGTACGTTGACGACTTGGACTTTGCTACTGTTGATACTTGTGAAGGCGGAGCTGCAGAAGAGACACACTTGCTTTGACCAGGGTGAGCTGCGCAGCTATCTTGGCTTGCAGATCATCCGGGACAGAGTAGCGCGCACCATCACTCTGACTTAGTCACACATGGTGCAACAGGTCCTTCACCGCTTCTGCCTTCCGTTCCCCTCGCCACAACCCACTCCTCTGCCTACTGGCCAATCGCTCTCGGCTCCACTTTCAAAAGAGTCTGTAGAACCGATTTGTCCGTATCCAGAGCTTGTGGGTTGTCTCATGTACCGGATGACTTGTTTTAGGCCTGGCCTCGCGTACCCTCTTAGCATCCTGGCCTGCTATGTTGCTCGCGGTAGATACCGGAAGGATCACTGGACAGCTGCTAAGAGGGTGCTGCACAACGTGGCCAGTACATCAGGCACGAGGCTTGTGCTTGGAGGACGGGGCCGAGTTGTTCTCACAGGTCACTCAAACGCTTCCTGGGCCGACGACTAGGAGACTCAGCGTTCGACACAGGGTTACACTTTCAATCTCAGCTCTGAATCTCTCTCCTGGAGGTCCACCCGCTCGTCTTCTGTTCTCAGCTCCAATTGTAAGGCTGAGATATACGGCGGGCCATGGCTGCATAGGAGTTACGCTGGCTGACCTACTTGCTGGCACACTTAAGTGAGCGGCCTCGTTCTCCTCCAATTCTTTACGTCGACAACAAGGCCATGATTGCCTTGTGTCGGGAGCAGAGGCTGGAGCACAGAACGAAGCACATTGCGCTTCGTTACTTTCTCGCACGAAATTAAGAGCAGCTTGGTCAGCTTCGTCTTGCTTACGTGGCCTCACAGACCAACATAACTGATGTCTTCACCAAGGCCCTCGGGTCTGGTAATCATCAGCATTTCTGCACTGCTCTTGGGCTTGTGCTCACTCTGCCTCACTTGCTAGTCTTTTGATCTTATTTTGCCCTTGTTGTACACTGTTATATATACGTATTCCTGCATGTTTTCACTTGCTATGTTGTGATCAGTGTACTGCCATTACTATTATAACTATGCGTGTGAACTGGCCTTGTGGCCGCTTGCTTGTGCTCGTACTACTTGGTGATATTGAGATCCACAATGAGCTTTGCTTTGTTTGCTTCTCTTGACTGATCTTGTGATCGTCTTGTTGTCCTCCACTTAGCCTATGGGGGTGTGTCAAACTGCAATTGTGCTTGTTAGGCTATACTGGGGCAATCCATATGGGGTTGAACACATTCTAGGGTTAGTAGTGTCGAGAAACTGAACAAGAATGAATGCATTGAGAAGAAAGTTGGTACAAGTATTAACCCTTATTGGGTTGTACCCCTTATGGGCTACCCCACTACAGCCTACACAATATAAACATTATAACATTTTGACACACCCCCATAGGCAAAGTGGGGGAGAACAAGTGGTCACATGACCAGTCAAGAAAAGAAAAGCAAGCTCTGGGTGGATCACGAAGTCACCACACATTCCGAGTACAAGCAAATGGCCACAAGGCCAGTTCACATGCAGAGTTATATAAAAGAGAACAAACTGTACGCTGATCATAACCTAGCAAGTGTAAGCATATAGGCATATATATGGGTCACAGTACAAGCAAAGTCACGCAGTAAGTGAGGAAAAGTAGGCACAAGGCCTAAAACAGTACAGAAACACTGATGATCACCAGGCTAAAGTGCCTTGGTGAATATATCAGCAGTGTTGGCCCGTGTGGCCACGTAAGCAAGATGCAGCTGACCACGCTGCTGCAACTCTCGAGCAAGGAAGTAACACAGAGCGATGCGCTTCGTTCTGTGCTCTAGTCTGTGCTCCAAACACAAGGCAATCCTGGCCTTGTAGTCTACGTACAGAATTGGAGGAGGACGAGGCCGATCTCCCAAGTCGGTCAGCAGGTAGGTGAGCCAGCGTAACTCCTGTGC